TATGAAATAGCATGGAATGAGCTGGAAACTGAAATCAGTACCATGTTGTTAGAGGACACAGTGCAAGAAAAGATATGATATTAAAAGAGAAGAACAAAGTATAATGGATTAAGCTCAAGATGACAAAATCATCAAAAATTAACAAATTACACTAGGTGAGGGTCTATTTGGTGACTCAAAGGAGTTTATCTTCACTATAGGGGCAGGAGAAAGGAATAGCAGACAATAGAGATATGGAATGTGATTGTGCAAAGAAGACATTATGAGAGTCCATGTCTGATCAGATGGCTTTCATTTTATCTGTAAGAAGCCAGGTCAACTCAGTGGTGTCCAAGGATAACTATGATACCTGGAGGAGAGGGGAAGGTGTTAGATCTATAGTGAAGAGGGATGGAAGATACCAAGAGGTGGGTGAAAAGTCTACTGGAAAAGCCTTGGCAGTCTTGCTAAAATTTAAATATGTAAATGTGGCATCAGTCTATACAGTTTTTCCTCTGCTTTGACTCAAAATTATAATTGTAGGGTCCAATTTGTGTTTAAAATTTAGGTTCCTGCTAGACACAAAGGATTGAACTGGTGACTGATAATAGGTGATACCAAGATTTATTAAGTACATACAATGTGCTAGAAATTGTGTTTAGTACATCATTATGTTGACACATTTATACCCTTTTCTATGAGTATAAATATTATTCTTATTTTTAAAACACTTTGAGGATCCTATAATTTTTCTAAGACCCTTTTACTAATAAATAGTAGAACTGGCATTCAAACAACAGTGCACTAAGCAGGAAATAAATTGAGGTTGGAAAGGGCTAATAGTTTGAGAAAAGATGTAAATGTCAAGGAACTGGAAAACTTCAAGGAGTTTCCTCTTGGTTGGAACCATCTTCTTCCATTAATTGACCAAAATGACGAACACAAAGGGGAAGAGAAGAGACTTCCAATACATGTTCTCTAAGTCTTTTAGAAAGCATGAAGTGATTTCTTTGGCAACATACATAATCATCTACAAGAAAGGTAAGATTGTAGACATCAAGGGAATGGGTTCTGTTTATAAAGGAATGCCCCACAGATGTTACTATGGCAGAACTGGAAGTCTATAGTGTTACCCAGCATGCTTTGGGACCATTATAAACAAACACGTTAAGGGCAAGATTCTTGCCAAGAGAATTAATGAGCATATTGAGCATACTAAAGCATTCTAAGAGCAGAGATGGAGTCCTAAAGTGTGTGAAGGAAAATGACCAGAAAAATAAGAAAGCCAAAGAGAAAGGTACCTGGGTTCAACTGAAGCACCAGTCCATTCCACCCAAAGAAGCACACTTTGTGAGAACCAATGGAAAGCAGTCTGAGCTTCTAGAACGTATTTCCTTTGAATTCATGGCATAATAAAAATAAACTAAACTATGGCCTATAAAAATGTTTTTCTTAATTGAGTAGGACTGTGGTGTTCCTTCCCTCAGAGCAAATTTTAATTGGGCTCTAATTTTATTCAAATTTAGTGTTTTTTAGCTGAAAGATGTTAGGTGACTTAATATGAATTAAAAAAAAAGAATAATAAAAAGTCCAAAAATAAAAGAAAAACTTCAAGGAGATAACAGAACTGGTGGAAATAAAAAAATTTAAAGAGTACATGGAAGATAGTAAACTGTAATTGGAAAGCTGAATATCATTGTTTAGGACTACAGTGGTAGAGACATTCAGAGTGGCCATGAAATTGGTTATTGAAATGAAAATGGAAATACAGGTCATTCATTTTATGGCTAGGATATTGAGTGTAGTATATGGGTGTTGATCTTCAATATGTTGGGATTTTGGAATGAGAAGGAATCGATTTTGCAGGAATATCAATAAAACTGATAAGTCTTCTCAGTATTCCGGTGATTCAGCTTGATGAAGTGAATCTAAAGGCAAAGATATATTTGCATAAAGGTGAAAAAGTAATGATATAAAGACAGAGAGTAGAAGTAGGATTATATGGAGCCTCTTTGCTGGACCTAAATGTATGGAAAAACAATGTAAGTCAAGCTTTCAAGGAGAAAATGTGGAAACAATGCAAGCTTGTCCTGGTTAAGAATAAAAATATTGTTTCAAAAAAAATAAAAGATCTAGCGCATACAATGAGAAATGGTGAGGGCAGCAAGAGGTGCTGCAAGATAGAAAGTATGAATCGAAGGGGGGAAAGTACATACCTGTATGGGTCAGAGACTGAGTAAGAGGATTAATGATTAAAGGGAACAGTTTATTTGGGGCTTGAGAGTGATAAAGTTAGGAGACAGTCAATGGAATTAAATGACTTCAGATTTGTAAACAGGACATTAATGTCTTTAATGTTTTGCTATTTTTATTCCAAATACTGCCATGACCTCACTGCAACCACATTATTGTTTGATCTAACTGAGGGAGACATTTTCTGAAGTTCAGCGGGTTTTGGGGCTGATACATTACCTTATTGGTCAGTTCAATGTAAGATTAGGATAAATTTAACTGGACATATACCACTGATTTGTGGCTTTGCTTAATAGTACGTTAAGAAATTTTAAATTATGTAAGAACATATTTCATAGATATTTTATAAAATTTCAAAGTGTTATACTGTATTAGTTTAGTATTTCTTCATTTATAAGGACAGATTCCTTCATAATGATACTAATTTCCTTTGCTGGGTTTTGAAACAACATAGTTTATCCGAGCATGTTGATAGCTGTGACATAAAGACAGTTAAATTGGATATATAGATTTACTTGTTCCACAATATAGGAAAAAGAATGTATGACTTATATAAGATAAAGGAAATACACTATTATAAGTGGATTTTTAAATAAAATTTAACAATAATTGGGACCAGCAGTGTTTTTAGACAACCCAGATTCCAACCATCAATCTATAGCTGATGTATACATCTGATATCTTTTAATGAAAGATATTTTATCCAACTATATGGTATTATGGAAAAGGTAAGATCAAGGTTAGAAAATTGGCTCTATCCTTGAATAAAGATCTGTAACCTTGGGAACCTGGCTTTTCCAAACCTGTTTTTTTCCTTCTATAAAATGTGGATGCTGACATTATCAAAGAGTTATTGACAGGATTGGAGCAGCCAATTTGACTAACCAAGGTTATATTTATACTGACCAAAATCATTCTCTTAGCAGTTCTAACCAACCAGCTGTCATTCAGGTTCTAGAAATTACATTAGGAAGTTGAAACTTATCTTTAAACTAGGTCTCTTGGGGCTAGCAGATGGTGGTGTGATGACATTGCTGGATTTCCACATGGCTGACAGTGGTTTGAATCCTGGACCTGGAGGCTTGAAACTCATGCCAGGAGGCTTAAAACTCATGCCAGGCATGTGTGTGTGTGTGCATTCCCAAAATCCTGAGAGGACACTGGAGGAGAAGGGAATGCCACTTAGTCATCCCCCCTGGGGGGTGATCCTCATTTTCTATTTCTCTGTCTCTCTCTGTCTCTCCGATGAGCACATGTGCCCTATAGAAAAAAAAAAAATCTCTCTAAAAACAAAAAACAAAAACAAAACTAGGTTTCCCACTGGGTTCAATTTTTCATGTTTATACAGCAATCTGTGCTTTGACAATTCAATAATAGCAATGCTTTGTTCCCCCAGAGATAACTGTTGAGTAACTACACTATACCTGCCAAGGCCATCTAGAAATCTGTTGGCCAAACCAAAATCAGTCAGCAGAAGGGTCACGGATTCCAGGAATAGTTCTGTTTTAATATCCCTGTGGTGTTCAAGGTCAGCTGGGAGCTACCAATGAGAAGTGTGGACTCCATGCAAATCCAGCAGTGGATTTCAGAGCTCAGCAGCCTGATCCCTTCAATTACACTTTCCCTCCTGAGAGATCTTGGAGCCACTTTCTTAAGAGCACCACATCATATTTGTCCATATTAGTCTTGTGTAAAACAATGTTGCTAAAGGTTCTGGTGTGCATAATGCTTCATAGAATAAAATATAAATGCAAATGTGGGGCCTAGCAGGTGTTATAGTGGTTAAGGCACTGGACTCCCACAATCCTGACCACAGTTTGAGTTCTGGATCATGTGCGTGTGTGCGCAAAAATCCCATGAGGAGAATGGAGGACAAGGGATTGCAGTGTGGCCATCCCTTAATATAAACCAGCATCACTTAACCTTGATGCTGGTTTATATTAAGATAATTATAAAACAAGTTGTTTTTAAAAATATGTTAAAGTCTTTGTAAAACTCTCCTGGATTTGGACCTTCCTCACAACCCCTTTCACCTCGGTCATAGTAAATGGTAAACTGAGCATGGGACTATTTCAACAAGACAAGCCCATTGAAGTATGCTACTGCAGTGTATTTTGGCTGTGTTTCTCTTCGTGGTTAAATTTCAATACAACACTGAACAAATTTTATTTGTTTTCAATATGTATCTATTTTCTTTCACCCTTGCCTTCTTCACTGAACAGAAGGACAGGTTCTATAACAAAGATGCGTGAACAAGATTAGTACATTCAGTACTTTTGCTGAAGTTTGGGGATTAAAACCTTCTGTGGTAGTGTTTTCTCAATTTATTTTCATTCTGAAATGGTGTAACTAATTTCCCTAGGTTCTACTCCCGTAATGGTATTGCACTTGGTTAGAGATTTTAGCTTATACTAACTATAAAGAGTGCAGTAGAAAATCTTGAAGTTAGCCAGGAAAATGGCTATATTGTGTAGCTGTAAATAATGTCTCTGTATTTGTATTTAACAAGGCTGTCTCCTGTGACTTTCCAAGATCACCTTTGGTGGTTGGATTTGTTTTTGGATATTTAAGAGTATGACGTGGTGTCTCATGCCTGTCATTTAACAGCAAAAGGAATGTTATTCTTCAGCTCTGTCCTAGTGCCCTCACATTTTTCAACCTTGGGCTAGTCAGCCACTTATCAGCTGATGTGATTTCACATTTTTCCCTGATCATTAATCACTCACTCTAAGTTCTCCTTATATAGTGTTTGCCAATTTCCTACACATGCACACACACACATACACGCAAGAAAAACAAGTTTTCTGGGCTTGTGAGGAAAAGAAAGGAGAAAAGAAGGTAATAGTGGGTTCTAAGTTATTTGGGTTGTATTACTAATGCTAACTACTCTCATAAAGTATGTAATTACGGCTAAAGTTTTCTCTTAAGCCCTGATGAACACTAAAAATTTCCAAGCATGATTGGATGATGCTAAATTAAAGGGAGAAACTGTGTCTTCCAATAGAGTAGATTATTTGATATTTTATCTACAAATTTGAGTGTGAATTTCAATAATATTAATTATTCCTCTTATTTTCAGAGGACTTTTGTGTAGTCAAATATATAAAAAATTGCTACTTCAGCTGACATAGTTTTTCATTTTTATTATCTTGTAGATAATGACTAACGAGGTGTAAACAGAAATAATATGTTCATGTTTCTTCTACATCACAGATTTTTACTTCTTTTAAGAAACACCTTTGTAATAATATATTTTAGTTATGTCTTGATTAAAATTTACTCATGAATAAGAAAAGATTATGAAACCTGAGTAATATATTTTGGTTGTAACTGACAATTTTAAGTCCATTCATTATGATAAACCTGACATAGAACTTTATGACACTACTGAGTATTAAAATAGTAATATTAAAATAGCGGCTGGCTATTCCTTTTTTTTTTAAAGAATTATTTTATTTAACTTTATTTATTTATTTTAATTTGACCAGGGAGAGACAGAGAGAGAGAAAGAGAGAGAGAGAAAGCAAGCCGCCAGGTCCGGGACTCAAACTGCGGTTGGCCATGTGGGAGTTCAGCGTCCTTAACCACCACAGCCATTAAGATCACCTAAATAATGGGTCTGAAATTATGTAATTAAAATTATCATATTTTTCCTGTCCTGATAATTGGATAAGAGATTAGACATTACTACAGCATTTTAGAGACCTGTTTGTGTCCTCCCCCAATTTGTGTTGCTTTTCAGTGTAGTGAACCAAACAATTTCTCTTAGCTTATGAATTCTCAAAAACAGTACAATATAGCATATGCTTTTGCTTTTGGTTTATGTTAAGAGAATTATAAAACAAGTTGTTTTGAAAATAAGTATATGTCTTTGTAAAACTCTCCTGTGTTTAGACATGCATGTTTCAGAAGGTCAGATACTAACATTTGTACAAGGTGAAAGTTAACTCATAAGCTCAAAAGACATGCCAAAACAAATAGAATGCATTTTATTTCATTTTAACTGCCTCTTCTTTTCAAAAATTTGTATTTGGTACATATGATCATGTAACGGTCATATTGCTCTTTACTTTTTTACGTATCTGCCTACAACTACATACCTTTTAAGGTCTTAATCTGTTAATTTTTTAAAAAATTTAAGACAACCTTTAAAGAAAATGGGGAAACTTTTGCTGCTCTATTTTTCTGTAATAACATACCGCAAATTAAAATTAACTCATATTCTAATGTACAGTAAAACCAGAGAATTTCTAAACTCACATTGTTAAAATAAGTTTATTCTTGAGTAAAATCAAGAAAAGAAAACAAAACTTTCTCATATCATCATTCTCCAGTTTTAGTAGTATTTTATTTCATACAAGAGTTAAAATATGGGGACTGGCAACTGGTATGGTGGTTAAAGTGCTGGACTTCTGGATGGTCAACAATGGTTCGAGTCTAGACCTGGTGGCTTTTTTTCTCATTTTCCCTCTCCTTCTGTCTGTCTCTCTGATTAAATTGAATAATAATAATAAATAAAATAGATAATTCTTTTTATAAAAAAGACAACATAAGGGAGATGCTGCCTTTTAGGTATGGTGCAAGGAATGTAATTAACAGACAAAAGTGGATTATAACAAATACAAATATGACATCATATAATAAATAAAATATATTTATATGTTCTAAATATTCAGTGACTATGAAAATATTAACACTTCATAAAAATGATTAACTTTATATATTTTTTATCAATTACAAAAATTATTGGTCATCAGTGAAGCAGCTAAGAAAGTTAGTCATAAGATGTTATATCCTGGGAACCAGCAGTTAGTGTAATGGCTATGTCACTGGACTCCCACGTAGTCGACCGGGGTTCGCGTCCCAGACCCAGTGGCTTAAAACTTATGCCGGGCATGTGTGCGTGCATGCTCAAGATCCTGAGAGGAGAATGGAGGATGGAGGAGAAGGGATTGCGGCATGACCATCCCCCCTGGGGGGTGATTTCTCGCTTTCTGTCTTTATGTCTCTCTCTGTCTGTCTGGCGAGCGCACATGCCCTATAGCGAAAACCTCTCCAGAAAAAAAGATGTTATATCCTTAAAAATTCTTTTGCTTTACCTTATGACTATTACTTGGTTTGGCATAATAATACCAGTAATTTTGTGAAATGTATTTTAATATCACACTAAACTCAAATGAGTTTAATGACTGCAACAAGGTGGTTTTTTGCATGTAGAACTGACATATTTTTGTGTGACTTTCACTAATTTGAGACAATTATATGTAAATAGTTTGCTTATTATAGTCTTGGAACTTACACAGTAAACAGATTGATTGTCAGTCTAAAATTCCTTCCATTTTAGACTACAGTGTCAAGGTTCTCCAGTCAAATAAGGTAACATTCTGAGTGCTCTCTGCATGACCTCATGTTACCTCTGTTCTCTACTCTTTGTTATTGTTTAGGTGACATATATTTGAATAAACTTTGCACTTGGCTATTCTACTATGAAATAACCTGATTCTTCTGATTATATTTAAAAGTTGAGGTTATTGATCTAAAAAAAGAAACAATAGGATTTGTGTACTTAAATAAGTCTCTTATTTTTTAAGTGGGAAATCAACAAGGATATAATATTTATTCATTTATATAAAATAATAGTTTTTCACTAGCTTTAGCAGGAACTATTAGTAATGACAGTAGCAGTAGTATTGCATTTCCAAGCACAGTGCTAGGTATTTTACAAATTACGTAAGTTAACAGTCACATTTTGAGGAAAATAATACTATATCATTTTGCCCGAGATAAAAGAATTGGGCAGAGAAATCAAACACTTGATTCACAGTTTACATAATGAAAGAACACACAAAAATTGATGGTCAGACTTTGATCATGGTTTTGTAATGTTTCTGATGTATTTTTAGACCTTAGACGTCTTATTGCAATGCTGCTTAAATTTTTGAAATTAGATAGATTAAGTACATGAAACTGAACTGGTGAAATATAATTTTATGACTTTTGACTTTAAAAAAATACTGATTTTCTTCTGTATTTCATTTTTCCAGATTTAAAGATTTTTGTCTTCTTTACCTTCTATATGAACAGAATCCTAACCTGTTTCCTGGCTTTAAGTCTTAAGCAAATTTCTCTTCACATTTTAAAATTTTGATTTATTAAAGCTAAAACTGCTTTTCTTAAAATTAAGAAAAAAATTAAAAATACCTATTAATTACCAGAGTAAGCTATATAGACTCAACTAGGTGCTATTTTTAAGTATATTCTATTCACTGAGTTTCATCCCTAAAGTCAGACATGTGTTCACAGCTGAACTTGCTATTGAAAGTATGTAGATTAATTAAGATATTTTATGAATCAATAAAATGTTGGGGGGAAAAAAGGAATGGAAAGCAACCGTAGATACCAGAGATAGTGTGGGAGGAGGGTGGGAAATAGCAGAGGGTGAGAAATAGGGAAATATATATATGAAACAAATGGAAAATTATTTGTTGATAACATGTATGATTAAGCCAGTTTTCCTGTGTGTTCTGGATGGAAAATCACATTTTGTATGCTGTGATGATGTTCAGTGTATGAATGTAAAATAAATTAATTAAAAAATAAAGTTATATGCTATTAATATGAAGTCTTTTAGGTATGGAGTTGTATAACTTTTTTTTTTAACATGCATCTCAATATTTAGATGGTTAGTTTATTTTTCTGTTCTTCTAGGAGTCCATTTTACGATGTGATGCTTTCCTGTGAAACCTTAGACAAGATCTTGGATATTAGAAGACTCTAGGACTCTTTATGCCAATAGAGCTGCTTTGTAAGTACCCTCTGCATGTAATAACATTTTCTTCTGTCTAGTTATGCTGTTTGTGGAGATGACAGATCTAAACATGAATGGCAATACTGGCTTAGTTTGTGTTTCAATCATTTTCTAAAATAGAACAAATTTTAAAGTTGGCACTTTTAGCTTCAGGTCTTACCATAACTCTGTGTACTGTTCAATATGGTCAAGAAATTCAACTTCAGTTTCTCTGTATATAAAGTGAAGCTAAATATAAACTTTCTTCATCAAAAAGATTATAAAGGTAATAGCAAATTGTACACTTTCAGCAATAATAAAAACATGTTATTATTGTTACCATAAATGTTGGCTTTAAAATAGAAAAAGTCATAGATAGATATTTTACTTATCTTCATTATGGGCATACTTTAAAAAAAACTTTATTTTGAATAAAAATGATCATATTAGGATTTCTGGATTCCTATTTTATTAGTACAGAGCTTTATTACTCAGTTTCCACACACATGATTCAATGTAATTTATCACTACAATACTGGTCTAAAGCATATCAGGGATTATAACCCCCACTGTAGAGTTAAAAACTGAAGCTCTTGGTCTAGTCTTGAGTAATACTATGCTACTAGTAAGAGAGAAAATTTGAAATCAGACATTCTGTTAACAAATCCATGCTCTTTTCAGAAACTGCATGCAGTTGGTCAAACTTTCCTTTTTCTATTTGTGTTTGAACTGTTTTTTCATATATGTAATTATTTATTTTATTTATTCATTCATTCATTTTTTTTTTTAATTTGACCAGAGAGAGACAGGGTGACAGTGAGAGAGAGAGGAAGTAAGAAAGCAAGCCACCAGATTCAGGACTTGAACCCTGGTAGGCCATGTGGGAGTGTCCAGTGCCTTAACCACCACACCACCTGCTGGTCACCATTGAACCGTTTAATCAATAGTGTGATAGATTCACAAAACTATATCACCCATTTGAGATGACCAATGTTATTGTTCAATTGCATCCTGCACTCTGTCTTCTACCTCAAGTTAATGAACAAATCTTGGTATATACATGTGGTAGGCAGAAAAGTGGACCTTTGCCTCCTGAAACCCACAGTCTATGGACATATTTTGTGACATAGCAAGAGAGGGATTAAAGTTACAGATAGAATTAAGGTTGCTTAATCAGATGATTTAGAAATGATTGTCAATTATGTTTATGGTCCCAGGGTAATCACTAGAATCCAAATAAATGAAAAAGAAATAGCAGCATGTTAGGGCCTCAGCCTGACTTTGATGATTTGATGACGTTGGAATACAGTCACAAGCCAAAGAATGCTGATAGTTTTTAAAGGCTACAGAAAGCAAAGAAAGAGATTCCTCTGGTTTCTTGTCAACACACTGATTTTAGCCCAGTGAAATCTACTTCACCTGTCTTATCTACAGAATCGTAAGACAGTAAATCTGTGTAATTTTAAGTCATTATATTTGTGGTTGTTACAACACAATAAAATCTTATCCCACACATACTATAAGATTATGGTAATCCTGAGAGAACAGATAATGTTTATGACAGGGAGTCATTGGGTCAGCCATAGAGGTATTTGCTCCTTGATTTCATATTTGTTGTGTAATAATAATATATGATTGTTGAGCTAGGTTGTAAGATATATGGTTCTTTTTAATACATGGTTTAGTAAGAGAACTGGTTTATCCCTGCCTATTCCTTTTTTTTAATTTAAATATATTTATTTACATTCATTTACTGTACATCATTACAGCATACAAAACGAGATTTTCCATCTAGAGTACACTGTATATTAGCTCAAGCAAGCACATCAAGATACATGTTATCATCAACAAATAATTTTCCATTTCTTGTTTCCTGTATGTTTGCTTTTTTTTTTCCCCTTTCCTTGATTCCTTATCTCTTAGCCTCTGCCGTCTCCCACTCTACTCCCACAGCCTCTGGTATCTATGTTTGCTTTCTATACATTTTTCCCCACATTTTATTGAGTCACTAAAGATCTTAATTAATCTAAATATTTTATAGCAAGTACAGCTGATATATATATTTCCATGAACACAAGTCCAACTTTAGGCATAAGCCTCAGTGAGTAGAATGAACATCCTATAAAGTATCACCTAGCTGGGGCTATATGTCTTACTGCAGTCATCCATCCTATAAGTATTTTTAATGTTTTTTTATTAATTAATTTCAAGAAAAACAGTTTTAGTTTATTTTTCCTGAACCTTTTCTCTTTTTTAGCTTAATTTACATTCATTTCTTAAGCATCATCACAGCATACAAACTGTGATTTCCCATCCAGAATATACTGCATAGTTATTATCAAAAATTTTCCATTTCTAGTTTCTAGTATTTTTTTTTTACCCGTATGTCTGACCCTCTGTCTTTTCCCACTCTCTTCTCACACTATCTCTGGTGTCTACAGTTGTCTTCCATTCTTCCACCCCCCACACACACATTGTATTGATCACACAATTTCTTAAATAATCTAACTACTTTCAATAGCAAGTTCACTTGGTACTATTAAGAAAATCAGTTTTAACTTAAATCAAAGAAATGCTATCAAACTTTGATTAAAGCCAGGAAACAGGTTAGGATTCTGTTCACATGGTGGGTGCATGAACCTATCCATATCTCAAGACAGGAGACAAATTCTTACACCTGGATAACAAAGTCTACAAGAAAATCAGCGATGTTTTAGCATTCTCTGATGCTTACTGTTCATAATCTATTTGAGCTCAGTTTATTCATCTGTGAAATGAGGACAGCTAGTAGTGTACTGGTGAAGGTGGCTGCATCCCATATGGCCAATTGTATAGTTCAAGTCCTGGACTCCACAGCTGACAAAACGCAGTGCATGTATGCCCAAAATCCCAAAAGGAGGGAGAAATGGAGAAGAGGGATTTCAGCATGACCATTACCCATGGGGAAGGTGTGCTTTCTCACATCCTCTTTCACTCTTTCTCCATCTCCAGCAAGTGTACATGCCCTCTGTAAAATTAAAATTTTTATGGTGCTCTTGTGAGAATTAACCGTGTTAATTTATGCTAAGTTCTTAGAACATTACTTTGCATGCTGTATGGGCTAAATAAACTTTAACTGTTGTTACTATTATTTATTTATCCTTAAGTCTCGTATTCTTTAGACTCAATCTCTTTCTTAAGAGATATACAGGAGACTGTTCACAACTTTGGGATCGATATTTTTGGAGTAGGTATTTTAATTAAACCAAGTTATATCAATTTCATCATTTGTTACTCTTTTTTTTTTTTTAAAAAAAAAAAAAAAGCTCCTGTACTTATAAATAGCTTTGTTCTTTGTTCATATTATCTCATATCTGTAGAGGGGCAAATTTGCACATTATATAATAATTCATTTTATTGAACTCATTTATCTATTTTAACTATTTATACTGTGAATATTTAGGTTTGTTTTGAAGTTACTGAGAATGCAAATTGTTTGTTAATAGAAAAAATACGTAGTACGCTGTTAAAAGAAATCCTAGATAAAATAAAAGTAAGGAAAATCTAATCTGAAGGTTGAGTTTTTAAAGATATTCTGTTAAGAGAGAAGCCTCTTTTGTAGTTGAATAGAAATTTCTGCTTTTATCAATGCCACATCCTCTGTCTCTGGTAGTGATGATGAGCCTTCTTTTTCTTTTTCTTTTTTTTAGAAGCATTTTATTTAACTTTATTTATTTATTTATTTTAATTTGATCAGAGAGGGACAGAGTGAGAGAGGAAGAGAGAGAGAGGTAAGAAAGCAAGCAAGCCACCAGGTCCGGGACTGGAACTGCGATCGGCTATGTGGGAGTCCAGCACCCTTAACCACCACACCAGCTGCTGGCCCCAGTGAGCCTTCTTTAGGCCTAGTAGGAGCAGATATTTCTCAACTGTTTAGACTCTCACCATAGTAGTTATATTCTAAGACACAGACAGTATCTTTATTAATCTAGTCAGCATGTGTTATAAGTGTCCTAATGCCAATAAATGAATAATGTCTTTTTAAGACATTATCACTACTTAGTACGCTGTTAAAAGAAATCCTAGATAAAATAAAAGTAAGGAAAATCTAATCTGAAGGTTGAGTTTTTAAAGATATTCTGTTAAGAGAGAAGCCTCTTTTGTAGTTGAATAGAAATTTCTGCTTTTATCAATGCCACATCCTCTGTCTCTGGTAGTGATGATGAGCCTTCTTTTTCTTTTTCTTTTTTTTAGAAGCATTTTATTTAACTTTATTTATTTATTTATTTTAATTTGATCAGAGAGGGACAGAGTGAGAGAGGAAGAGAGAGAGAGGTAAGAAAGCAAGCAAGCCACCAGGTCCGGGACTGGAACTGCGATCGGCTATGTGGGAGTCCAGCACCCTTAACCACCACACCAGCTGCTGGCCCCAGTGAGCCTTCTTTAGGCCTAGTAGGAGCAGATATTTCTCAACTGTTTAGACTCTCACCATAGTAGTTATATTCTAAGACACAGACAGTATCTTTATTAATCTAGTCAGCATGTGTTATAAGTGTCCTAATGCCAATAAATGAATAATGTCTTTTTAAGACATTATCACTACTTTTCCAGTACAGTGGGGAAGTGTCAATGACTCTTGAAATAGCTTAACTTAAATTCCAGTAAGAGAGTTAGGCAAAGAGGTAAGGACTGTTTACTCCTTTCCCTGTGCAGTGGAGAAGTAGCTTAGAAGTAGCTGCTTCTGAAGTAGCTTAGATTCCAGTTGTAGTTAAGCAAAGAGGTAAGGCCTATTCGCTCCTAGGTTTCCACATACAAAGGCCAGTAGCAGTGTGTCATGATTTCTTCTACAGTTTTAAAGAGTGCATTGCTCCTAAAAAACAGCTTGTCTGTGCCTGCTTTTTAGTTCCTTAAATTTTTTCTAGTAGGAAGAAAAAGAACATAAAACAACAACAAAAATGTTCTTTACATAGACACCTGGAATACATATATACCATCCCTTTGAATTAAATACTTAAGAACTATAATCGCAAGCCTATTGG